GGGTCGCGGCGCCGCTCGGCGCGCCGGCCCTGCTCGGGCTCAGGTGCCCCCTTTCTCCGGACCTTCTCGCGGGCTCGTGTCCCCTCCGCGGCTCCCCCGGCGGCCGGCCCGGCTCGGAGGCTCGCGGCCGGAGCGGACTGCGCACGCCGGGGTGGCGGGACTTCGGCAAGACCAACTTTCCGGTTCGGAAGCGGCGCGGGCCCCGCGGCTCCTCCCTCTCCTTCCCCTCCCCTCGCTTCCCCCTCCCCTCCACCCCCCGTCTCCCCGCCCCCCCGGGCCCCTCCGACTCCGGAGCACACGCCCCGCCCGCCGCCGCCGCCACCGGGGTCGCCTCGGTGCTTCGCTCGCCCGCAGGGCCTCCCGCCGCCAGCGGCTCGTAAATTCGGGGGGAGGGAGGGGACCGCGGGGCCCCAGTGTGCCCCCCAGTTCCCTCTACCGAGGGGTGCAGTGCCAGGGCGCCTGCGGAGTGGGCAGCGGCGCAGGGTCCCCGAGGCCGCGCGACTGAAAGTTCCAAGTCCCCAAAAGTCCCGCGGGCGGCCCGCCGTGTTCTAGGACTTTCGGGAGTGACGTGGGGGGGCGGGGGAGAGGTCGCGCACCCTCCGGCGGCCGGCGCGGCGCGCTCCCCGCACACGCACCCACCCCTCGCCGGTGGTCGCAAGCACGAGCCCGCGCGCACCCGCACCCGTGCTCACGCGCCCGCGCCCACTCGAGCACTCCTTCCCGCGCGTGTCCTCCGTCCGGGAGCGGCCGCCAGGATGTGCCCCAGGCTTCGCCGCCGCCGTGCCCGTGCCCCTCACCCCAGTATGTCTTTTCTCATTTCCTAAATTCTTATTTTTGTCCCCACAAGTGGCCCTGTCTAGTATGAAGCTTTGGCACAGATGGCTTCCCGGCGCTTCCCCCAGCGTTGTGCCCGGGGGGAAGCGGGCGGTGACTAGCCAGGCCCGGGCGCCCGCAGGGCTGCGAGCTCCTCGCGTGGCTGGGGGTGGGGTTTTGCCTGGCTGAGGTCCCCCCACCCTCGGGACGGACCCCGACCCTGCGCCGCTCGCCCGGCTCTCTGCAGGCTGCTGTTCCATTCTAGAATCTTCCCGCTTCCCAGCCCGCGTTCTCCCGCCCGCCGCTAATTGTGTAAGTTTCGTGAAGCAACAGCTTGGGGCTCCAGGAGAATCGTACGGAGGAAGGAAGTGCACAGGTTGGCATCGTCTCCACTCAGCCCCCGCCACTTTTGCCAAAAAAAAACAAACAAAAAAAAACCCCACAAAAATCTCTTAAGGTTGGTTTGTTTTGCTTTTTGGTGGTGGGCATGTTCATTTACGTGATTGTTTTTGAAAAGAAAAATGGCAAAAGAAGTTCGAAATCGAGAGTTGTCCTCCACACACCACGGTAGCGCTTTTAATAGTTCAGCTGTGGGGGAAATATCTTTCTATCGCCATCACGCTGTGAACTTTTGCAAATGCTGCAAGCATCTTGGGGACGCTCTTGCATCCGGCGCACAGGCTCCGGCGGGGACAAGTCTGTGGCCGGGGCTTTGGGTAGAGCGGGACCAGGAACTTTCCTGGGAAAAGAGGGGCGACGAGAAGCGGGCAGGGGAGGAAAGGAAGGGTGTTGGTGGGGAGAGTGTTGGTGGGGGAGGGCGGCTGAAGAGAGTGGAAGTTGCGGAATTTACAGGACCAACAAGACGAGTTTGTGGAAGTTGCAGAGCCGAGCGGAAAGGTAGTTGTCGGTGACTCTTTCTAGAAGAGAAAGAAGCAGAACGATCATCGGTGGGTCGGACCCCTGGCTAAAGGTGCAGTGCTTTTTGTGACCTAGTTAATTCTCTTTTTTCCTTCTCTCTCTTTTTTTAATCGACATTTTGGGGAGAAAAAGCAAATGGAGGTTCCTGCGGCGTCCGAAGCCTTTCAGAGAAGCCCGAGCGCGGCTCCCCCGCAGCGCCTTGGCCCCCGTGCCACCGACGCCTCCTCTTTGGGCCACTTTGCGCTCGCTGACCTCCACCTTTTTTGTTCCTAAGGCCATTCGTCCGCCTCCCCCTGCTCCCCACCCACCCTCTCTGCAACACACTGGCACGATTTCCCTAGGTCTTTCTGGGACTTCCAAACGCAACTGTTTAATTTCGTCGACTTGCTTTGCATTTTCTACGAGGTGTGGTCGTGGGGAGGATCTTTTAAGTCCCTCCAATGAAGGCGAATCTGAGCCCCCGGCCCTGTATCTGTAAGAAGCAAGACTTCAGATTGCAGAGGTGTCTCGTAAGTCGTGATGCGCTTCGTAAGTGGGAAGATGCAGCAGGCTGTGCTGCACTGTGGTGGACACAGTGGCTCTCACAAAGTGAACGGGCACGGATACAGGACTCGGAGCCCGCCGGGGCCGACCTACCCGGCGTGAGGTGACGTCCCCGCCCAGGGCGCGCAGGGCGCAGCGGGCCGAGAGAACGTGCAGGCTCCACGTCGCCCTGCGTGCACGCCGCGCTAGGATTTCGTTGAGAAGGTCGAGCGAAGACTTGGACGAAAGGGTCAGGGAGGCTGTGAAACGAGAACCTGCACAAATTCCTCGCCACTGCTAAATGGTGTCGTTCAGTAAATCTTGTGTCGCACCGTTTTTTTAATTGACTTGGGTAAACAAGATCAATAAAAACAAAATGTAAAGGTCGAAAACAATAGACGAGTTACCTTCTGACCTACCTGTTCTCCCTTCCTCGCCTCCCTCCACTGAGATCTGAAACTTTTCTTTAATTGTTTTTATTCAATGTAGCAAGTTTTAATGAAAGCATATGCATCTTAAGCTTGAGTCCCAACAATGGATTCATTTCGAGGTAACTAAGTGTCAACGGAGTATTTTCACAAATGAGGGACAGGATGTATCCTCCAGTCTCGCCCAGAGTAAAGGCACGCACGGAAATATGCATCAGAGGTGCGGACACCGACTCATGCACTCGGCACACACACACACTTACCATCACGTGACCACTGTCTATTAAAATATTGTAATACCTACATACTATTACAAAAACAAAAGTTGCTTTTCTTCCCTATAATTAAATCTAATTTGTTAATTGCCTTTCCTCCTGCAATGTTGTTTTCATCTTAAGAGGTGACACGTTATTATTTTGTCTGCTTAATAATATTATTTACAAATTAATACTGTATATTTTACATTAGTGGAACATATAATTAAGCGTTTGATTTAATTTGTATCATTTATTCAGATAAAACAGAAAGCTTGTCCGCAGGACTGATTTGACAAGGGGAAGTTGAAGAGTTGGTTCCGTTTTAACATCCCAGGTTACTGCAGCTACCTGGCTCTCTGTTCCCAAAAGACAGTTTCTCATAAGGTGCATTCTTACTTTATTTACAAGGCACTTACTTCCCCAGCCACTTAATACAAAAAGAGTATTCAAATTTAGAGGTTTATTTTTCGTCTCCTTTCATTTCTTTTCCCCCAAGTCAAAGTTCCTTTCTTCTCACTGGCCTTCTCTTCCCTTTCTTGGGTTCCTCCCCCACCCCCAACTTTTGTTTTTGGTCCTTACGGTTAAATCCAGCATGATTTTGTGTCTTTAATGCCGTGACAAGTGACCGCTAATTGGTTCTCACTTGAGTAAAGATATTACCATACTAATATTATTATTGGTAAGACGAGGTAATTGATAACACCACCTGCCACTCTGGGGCAATCACGATGATAAATGTTTCCATCAACAGGAAATCTGTGCTTGGTGTACCACAGCCCAATGCAAACAGCATGTCAAGTGCCAATTATAAAGATGTTGCGTTTCTGTTACATTTGGGGGGGTGCTAGAAAACATGTAGCCAAAAGTTTTATTTATGGTTTTTTGCAAATACTTTTTCCAGGCTTCTTGTTCACCCACTTGAAGGTAACTTTCCCCATAAAAATAAAATGCTCTATTTAAATAAACCAGTACATAGCTAACTGCCCTGCCCACATTCCACACAACTCCTGCTGCCACCCCCTTCGCTTTCAAAGCTATTGAGATAAATATGTGGAAATATTTGTAATAGATAGGAGCCAAGAGCGTAGTATATAAATCCTCTTAGGTCTGTGTGCTCCAAAGCCTCCTTGCATGTTCATTACATGGCGACCTGAACTTCACATGTAGGCATCACAGGCAAACATTTCACGGCTCCTTATGTCACACGCAGAGAAACATCAGCACATAGCCATCCGTCTTCACACTTAGGGGTGCAAACGATGTCAAAGTGCTTCTCTGTGACCACTGAACCTTGAGTCTGGGCTGCCTGGAGGGGCACTCCTGCATGTATGATTACATAAATAATGCTGGCCAGCTAAAACTTGCACTCCCTGCCTGTAGGGAGGCTCAAATGATTATTATTAGCTTGCGTTATTAGATGCAGGCCTCAAAAGGCGAAATCAGCTATTGATAATTGCAAGAAGTATATAGCAGCTACTGTATCGATCGGCTTGTCCCTATTCCCCTGGTATGGGAGAGATAAGAAGACTCACTCTTTAGTGCAATATAATTTCTTTTGACCTATCTGCTTGCTACAGACTTATGATGAATAGCCGGAGTGGTTAAAGTCCTTTATCACGCAAGTTACCCCTTGATATAATATTGATTCTTTATAACTAGCTCCAAACACAAAAATCAAACTGTCCACTTGACCATCATCATCATCAATATCATCACAAAGCCTCTGGAATAAAGATCAGCACCAGCCTGAAAACGCTTTCTATAATCTTCCCGGCTAATCTTTATTTGCTGATGATGAAAAAAAGGAGGGGGGCTGGCGGGAGAGTGAGCGGAATGTCATTCGGACGAACACTATATTATACGTGAGCATACACCAGGCCGAGGCCAGGCGGCGGCTCGTCGTACGAACACGCGGTCGGCGTAGCCATCCTGCGCGGGGCTCGGCCTCCCACGGCCCGGGGGAGTCGGGGAGAGACGGCAAGAGTTCCACGCGAGCTGTCTGACGTGAGACAGATCGAGACCCTTGGCCTCTCGCTCGTTCGAAATCAGGGTCGCGCGTCCTTGGCACTCGGCCGGCTGGGCACCGGGGAGCGCGGGCAGAAAGGGGCGCACGCCGGGTGGGCTCAGGGCGTGGAGGGGCCGCGCCCGCCCCGAGGCGCACATCAAAGGCCTCCGGCGCAGTTCGTGTGCATTTCCCCAATTAACCGCATTTCCTGCCCCCTCCCCCTCCCGCCCCGCCCCCGCGCCGCCGGTTGCCCGGGCGCACGGACGAGCGTCACCCCGCGGGCGCGCCAGGGGTGTGTGGGCGCTTGTGTCCGCGCGTGGGCGCCTGCGGGGGTCCCAGGGCACGGGCCCGGACCCGCAGCCGCCTCTGGACACCTAGGCCCCGTCTAGGCCGAGTTTCTGGCGCGTTTTGGGAGAGGGGCTGAGGGGTGCGATGGGGGAGCAGGGAGGACCCCAACTTTTGCCTCCTCGAACCTTTTCGGCCCCGGACACTGCGCCTACAGGCTTGGAATCTGGTCTCAACGGGCGACTGTCTTCAGGGACCCCTTCATTTGACACCGCCCCGCCCCAATCCATTCCCACCCGCTTTTCTGCAGCCCCCAGACATCGCGGACCAAATTGGCGGTGGTGGTGCAAAAAGAGAGTGGCTTGGGGGCTGGGGGACACAGAGGATCCTCTGTCGCCTGCCCTCCACTCTGTTTGGAGGACGAAGCCACACAGTTCCCCCTCCGGGTGGGACCGCCTCCGAGGAGGTCGGGGCCTTGGCGGCGGTCCCTGCGGGGCTTGGGGTCCCGGCGGCCGCCCAGGCACCCCGGGTGGTCGGCGCCGGCGCGGTCCGGGGCTCGAGAGGTGGAGGAGTCGCCTTGGGCGTCAGGCCCGAGGCCGGTCTGGCTGGCTCCCCGCTGCGCCCACTGCCAGCCTCTGGCCCATCCCGCCGGCGTCCCAGGCTCAGCAGTGCCTCCCATCCCCGCCACAGGGCCCAAACCCATTCAGGGTCACCGGGGTCCGGCCCGACCTCTCCACGCGGGACCGCTTCGCTGATGGCAGCCCGAGGACGGCCTGGGGTGAAACCCCACAGGCAATTTCATAACCTCGAGCCACCCCATCGTCGTTAGGGCGCTCCGGGAGACCAGGGATGACTCCATCCCGTGTGGCCCCCAAAGGGTTTTCTCCTCGGTAGGGGAGGGGGAGCCGGCGGGAAGCCACTAGGCGTGAGAACTGGGGGTCCACCCCCTCCTTCCGCCCCTGTGTCCCACGCACTGACTCACGTGATGCGTCCCGCTTCGCATTTCCCCAGCTGGAGAGCACACCCTCTTCATGATATGTTCAAAGAAGTTTTAGAAAAGGGGGCACAACTTTGATGTGACTGCCCCCATCGGTCTTGGCTTTCTCATATCACAAATGTCATTTGCTTTGGCTCCAAGCTCTGCAAAAGTGCAGAGCTGAAATTCTGCAGAAGGCCTGGTTTGTGGGCGAGGCGCTCACCCAAGGACCTTGAACCACTGTGATGGGGACAAGGCCATCAAGTGTGGGGTCTTGCTCTCCTTCAAGGATGAATATCTTCACTATGACCTAATGCACTAGGCTGTTAACCGAGCAGACACATTCAGGCTGTCCTGCCAGGTCAGGCATAGGAGGGGAGGAACAAAAATACAAATTAGTCAGTTCACGTTCTCCAGAAAAAAAAAAACGAAAAAGAAAAACATCCGATAGCAGAAGGCACAGTCTCATACTCTGGCCATGCAGTACGATTTGATGAGCTAAATAAATCAGCAGGTATGTCCAGACACGTGGGCCTCCTACTTGCTAATGATTATGCTTGGCCCAGGTGGAGGGGCCTGTGGGGAGGAAGGGGTTTCTCTACACCTTAGGGAAACCGTGTTTCCAAAGAAGGACCCACATTCAGGACTAAAGAGCTTATACAGGCCCCTAAAGTCGTCAAATCTACATAAGCACAACATTTCTGCTGCTCCCTTCTGCATTGCTGGCCCCTGCTGAGAAGTTTTGCTTAATAATGTATTCTGTGCCTTAAACGGTATATGTCTGACTCGTCCAGACTTTCTGTTTGAAATCAGACATGGGAGAGGTGACCCAGAGCTCCTCCATGGAAGGACGTGCTCCCTGCCCTTCAGTGGAAGGGATACAGGGATACATTGTCCCCCAAAGACACTGATTTTCTTGGAATCAGAAAGTAAAAAAAAAATGGAATCCTTTATACAAATTTTGATCACCAAGTGGAAAGTGGATTTGCCTAAAGTCTGGAAATGTTTGTGTGCTATGCATGTGTACTCTGCTTCAAGAAAACCTATAGAATTAGAATTCATAAAATAGAAAGTTGAAGGGGCCATTGTTTGCTTTACAAAGGATTCTTCACTTTTCTGGAGTATTAATTGCAGATTTCTCTCAAGTAGCCGGTGCTGCAGTACATTGTAAATTAGCCAGCATTCACAGTGACACACCAATTTCATAAAGCCAGGCTTGCCTACCTCACTGAAGGAATGTGTGAGCGGCTCTTCAGGTGTACAGAAGTTTGGAATGGTGTCCTTCAGGGAGGCCCTGCAGCACTGTCATGTTTCATCACAGTCACCTCACAGGAAGGGGCAGCTCTGCCCCCAAGCCAGCTCAGCCCCTCGGTAGGCAGCAGGTCTGTCTTGGACAGCGGTGGCAGTGGGCCTCATCATAGCATAGTGAAGGAAAGGGATCCTCCGAGGCTGAGAGATAAAATGATTGGCTGGAAGGGGGGTCTAGGCATGTGAGAAATGCAAAGAATAATAAAGGTATTAATGACTGCTGTGACCAAAGAGGGAATGTTTCTTTACATGTCGGAGCCGATGCTGCAGAAAGCAGAATGGAAGAGAAAGCTGAGGCCCTGGAAAGCAAGAAGAGAGGGGATGGGATCTTGAAAGCAGAGACGGTGGTGGCAGGGTGGAGGCCGAGAGGTCAGCGTGGAGGTGAAAGGAGAGAAAGTGATGGAGGCATCAACACTTGGGTCTGAGGGCAGGGGGCTTGCTCAGAACCTGAAGGGAGAGCTAGATTAGAAAGCAGCCCATGGACACTAGACGTCGCTTATAACGTGGCGGATCTCCCTTTTCTCTGTTAACAGAGTGTCTACACCACAGAGTCTCAGGTAACAGATCTCTGCTTTCTTCGAGGTTGGCCCCTTCGCTCTGCACACCGTCTTCAGCCGAGTCGTCGTCCTCCTCCTCTGTCGTGAAGGCGTTCCACAGTGTTTGTGAAAGTAAGGCTCTGAGCGTGTTTGCTAAACAGAATGACTATGGAGTTTATTGGTTGTGGTGAATTTGAGAAAAAGAAATCATACTTGCTCACATATTCAGAGCACAGCTGGCATCTCATTTTCTCCTTCTTCTCATTTCATTTCTTCTCATTTCTCTGGATCTCTTCTGTGAATCCTAAAGATCATGGTCCTTCTCATACAATTTAGCTCTGGTTAGATTTCATTTCATATCGTTCTCAAATTCACTTCACAACCAGCTTTCCTGTGCCCAGATCAGAAGGCTCATGCTCTCGTCTTCTCTAGGAGCCCCCAGGACCACAGCAGATGTGCTGTAGTGAGTCTTTGAGACCCACGGTGTGTGCAGCTCCAAGGGTTCTGGAGTGGGGTGGGATTGAAGATGAATAGACACATCTGTACGCCCTTTGGTTCAATTTCTCTCTGTCTCCTATGGGGTTTCCCCGGCTAATTCAAGGGTAGTCGTCTGTACTCTGCTTCCTCCGAACCTCTCTGCTCCAGGCACATTCACTGAGTACCCATACAGCCAGACACCCTGCCAGGAGCTCTCACCTCTATTCTTTAACGTCTTCGATTTCTCCAACTGCTCTGCTTATCAACCCCTTTTACAGACGCACTGATATAGATTCAGTGGTATTAACGACATGCCTAAGGTCGCTTGTTAATTAGTAAAGAAGCCTGCACTCATTTCTGCCTTTATTGGAGACTGTCATTAGTGAGCATTGCCCATCTTTATTGTGGTGCAGAGGGCCTAGTACTGCTGCTACCTACTCTGACAGGCTGACATTAGAACTTTCTGCACCGCACGATAATTTTCCTTTGCCTCCCTTGCGATGACATCAGCCTCTGTGAGTGCGACACTGCCCTGGTCAGGAGCCCTGGGCCGGAGTGCATCGCCTCATCCTTCCTGTCATCTGCAGAGGATTCATTCCCATGACTTCAGTTCTCACCCTCCCGCCTTCCCCTCTGTACCACTTTCGCCAACTTCCCTGTGGGCTCCCATTCGCCTTCCCCTCTTTGAATGTCGAACTCACCTGAAATAATCTCTGCTTTCATTTTCTTGACTGATTTTCGGATCCAATTTGACATTTTTCTTTGAGGAAGCCTTCCAAGATTGTATCTACTTCACTCTAGGATTCCTCTTTTCTTTACTTATTTTTTAGCAATCATGGATGCAGTTAATAATAATAATAATAAATCTTGCATTTTTCATGAGTTGTCACGAAACAGTTGTTAAGTAAGACCTTCAGAATGCCCTCGCTCACCCCAGGGTGGGCAAGCACCACCGTGGTCTAACCTCACGCAATTCCACCAGCTCTCTTCCCTCTCCGTGTCAGACACCAAGGGCACATGCATTATGATTTGTGCACTGTCTCCTTAAACAAGATCATTTACTGTTCATCTGCTAGGTTCTGCGCTAAGGGCTCTATATCACCTCCTTGAATCCTCACAGCATCCTACAAGGTGCTTCTTCTTATCCCCAGGATATGGACCTGAAGCCACAGGAGTTTGCATAACTTGTCCAAGGCCACACAGCTGAGCCCCATGGGTGGAGAGACTGGCCATGGGCAAAGATGCACCTGTGCTGGGGGCTGAGGCTCCACCCCTTGCCTGGGTTCATACAGGCCGCACTCAGGCCTCTCCAAAGACTGAACTCCTTCCGTTGTCTCTGAGCCTTTTTGGGATTTTGTTTTGAGAAAAATGCCTCCGCTTAAATAAATAAGAACTCTTGTCTGGTCATTAGAACCTTCTATTTCTTTGTGCTAAAGTAGAGGAGATAAAAATTTCAAAGTAAGGGATAGTGCGGAAGTAATGTATGTGGAGGTTTGGAATGTGTCAGGGACACAGGCAAGTGGGTTCACAGCTCTGGCCCCGGTGATCAGTTACATCACAACTGCAGGAAGGGTGA